TTTAAAAAAAAAAAAAAAAAAAAAAAAAAAAAAGTGTTCATTTGACATAAACTTTTTTTATAAACATTTAAAACTTTTATGTATAAAAATCCCTTTTCTTTATAAATACACACAGGTGTATGCTATAAGACATTTTGTATAGCCCTGGCCAGTGTGGTTCGGTTGAGTGTCGTCCCATACACAGAGAGGTCACTGGTTTGATTCCAGGTCAGGGCACATGCTCGAGTTGTGGGCTTGATCCCCAGTAGGGCTGATCTCTCACCAATGTTTTTCTCTCTCTCCCTTCCTCTCTCTCTAAAAAAAAAAAAAAAAAAAAATCAATAAAAGCATACCTTTTCTTTAAAAGACATTTTGTACACACTGATGTATTTTAGTTTCTTTGAACTTTGAAAACTTCCCATGATTTATTCTATTTCAAGGAGTAGGTTTGATCATTAATATTTACTACAAATTTTCTGCACATAGCTTGAGTCACCGCCATGAATCTTTTCAAAATATAAAATTATTTTAAGAAAGGTTTTGGTATTCTTCATTTGCCTGACCTGAATACCTTTGAAATCACTCAGAGGAAGCTGAAGACTTATCTTCTCCTTCCATCATCTGGTCAGCTTTTGTTTTCTCATTTTATCATATCAGTAGAAAATACAACAGGAAATTGCATCCATGCTGCTAGTGTGTTATTTGGAATAACTGATAATGGCAGGCGTGAGACAACAGGCTTCAGATCATCTAAAAATCAGTACCATTCACAGACCTATCAGGATCTGCATCATGCCTGTGTCCCATCTTCCTGTCTGAAAACAATATCTTGCCATAATCAGAGTAAGTTAATATTGCAGGTAACAATCGCCAGAAGCTACACCTGTCTCTCTGAGAAGCTCCAGTTCTTCTCTTTCATTTCTACTCAGAAAACTACAGCTTTAATAACACCAGCAAACACTGACCAGATGATGGTTGAGTTAGCATTATTATTTTTTTAATTAACTCACAGGCTGGTCATTATCATTATTTTTTTAACCAGCCAGTTCTTGCCCCAAGAAGTACACTGGTTATAAAGGAAATGAAATCAGTGTGTTGTCCACTCCTGTTGGAAATAATGGCTATTTTCAAGGAAGATATAGTTTCATCTAAAGCCTAATAAATAAAATTGATGGAATACTGATAAAATCTGAGGCCCACGAAAAAAAATCACCTTAGCCACGTCCTGGCAGGGTTGCTGAGAATCAAATGTGTCAGCATAGCTAAAGAAACCGTTCAGAAGGTTAAGAGCACAAGGCCCTGACCTGCCCAGCCCGATCTTCAGACTTCACGGCAATCCAGTTAGAGCAAGACACAAGGGGTGGGTAGCTACTAACACATTGCCATCCTTGCTCCTGTGGACAAAGCCACAGAAAAGGGCCATTGTTGAGTTCCTCCAGCAAACCCACTTAATCTTTCCCAGAGCACGTGGAAATATTTCAGAGCCCGGAAACACCACTGACTTCAGAAACCAAGCACTGCAGCTAATTTACTAATAAGCCATGAAGTATTGTCATAAATTACTTAAACTAACTGGTACTTGTCCAATTAAATGAACAAACTACATCCTGCAGGGTAGTGGCCTGGAGGATTTATGGCGGCTGTTTGTTTGCGTGCTAATTTGCCAAATTTCGTTAAGCTGCTCGGGGTCTACTCCTTCACCTTATGTTAATCAGCCAGGCCCGACGGCGCTCATATTTCCAGCTCTGTTTTCCCAGTCGAGAGCATGGCCATTTTTAATCTCGACAAGTCTCCTTACACATTAACGTTGGAGGCCATGAGTAAGCAGCAAATGTGCGGCGACAGGCTGCGTTAGATGATGGAGTGGGGTAAGCGACGAGAGTTCAGTCAGGATGTCGCGGGTGCTGCGCACAAAGACCGTTAAGAGAAACTGTGCAGAGCTCTCCTGGCCCATTTCCCACCCCGACAGCGCGAGTCCCGATGCGTATCCACGTGGCAAGCAGGGACAGTCCTTACGTGGAAATGAACCCGAGAGAAACATGCGCTACCTTCTCAACAAGATCTAGGCAGGCTTGCAAATCCAGACCAAAGTCGATGGACATCCAGGCAATGCCTTCTTTCCCATATTCCTCTTGCTCCAGAACAAACATGTGCTGATTGAGGAACTGTTGTAATTTTTCATTGGTAAATTAATGCAAAGTTGTTCTAGGCTGTTATACTTCAAAGATGTAATTGGGTGGGAAGAAGAGATAAAAATAAAATTGAGAAGATGGCAACTCCTTGAGGTGATGGATATGTTAATTAACTTGACTGTGGTGATTATCTCACAATGTAAATAATCATCAAAATTGTACACCTTAAGTATACACTTTTAATTGTCAAATATACCTCAAAAAATAAAATAAAATTGAGGTCCACTTGGGAGAATGTGAAGAGAAACCATAATCACTATCACATGGTAGCAAATAAACCTAGTAAGTAACAAATGCTCAGTTAACTTTTTACCTCCTTCAGCCCTGGTCTGTGTTGCTCAGGGGTTGGAGCTTTGTCCTGTATACTGAAAGGTCATGGGTTAGATTCCCAATCAGGGCACATATCTAGGTTGGGGATTTGGTCCCAGGTTGGGGTGCGTATGACAGGCAATCAATTAATGTTTTTCTCTCACAGCAATGTTTTGCTCTCCCTCTCTCTCCTTTCTTCTCTCTAAAATCAATAAACATATCCTCCAGAGATTTAAAAAAAAAAAACTTAAAAAAAAATTTTTACCTCCTTCAGATATACTCACCAACTAAAGATCATGACAATAAAATAACAATGATATTACAATTCAAAATCATAAAATATTCTGTTATCTCTATTTACCTTTAAGTCTTAATTAATTTCTTAATACTATTATAATTATTATTTATTAATATTCATAATGGCTCTTTTCCAACCAAAGTAGCTGTTAAGGCTTGCAAAGAACAAATTGCATCATGTTTGATGACATTTTCTGACATTCAATTCACATTTTCTAATCTTCTTGTAAATATGCACTGACTTCATTCTTATCCAATATACTTACATGAAGGATTTCAAACCCAATGATGTCCAGAATGCCAATGAAGAACTGCCTTAGTAGCTTGGCATCCAGGGCCCTGTTGATACATGCCACCAGCCACTTAAATATCTTTTCATATATTGACTTGGACAGGACACCAATAGCACAGGTCACCTAGGAATCACATTAAAAGCACTCCATCTGACAGCCGTGTTCATTTTAGTCCTGGCCATTCTCTAGCAGTAATTGCCTTCTAGTAAAACCATGATATATTTATTGACTTTCTATGGTTCTAGAATGCTGCTAAGATGATGCATGAGAAGAAATACAACAAAATGAGAGCAAAGGAAGAAGCAAAGGAGGGAGGAAAAGGAGAAGGGAGAGGAGAGAGGGGACACGGGGAGGAGGGGGGAAGAGAGGAAGGTGAAAGGAGGTGAGTTACCCCGGTGCCTCTTTACCCAACACTCCTGTGAGAAAAATTGTGTTCCTATTACCTAAGGACCAAATATTTTGGGATGAGGTGCAATGTGTTCTGAAGCCTTGCTATTCACAGTGTGGCCCTAAGACTTGCAGCATTGGCACTACTCGAAAGCTTACTAAAGATGCCAAATCCCATTCCAGACCTAAGAACCAGAATTTGCACTCTAACACAACCCCCTGCTGATTCCTACAGACCATAGCGTTTGAAAAGTCCTGGTAGAGTAGGTGAGGACTCTGGAATCCCCATCCCTTGTCCCACTACTGCTGCTGCAGCTGCTAATGAACTGTGTCACCTTTGGCAAGTGACCAAACCTCCCTGGGCTACATGAAGTAGCTTCATTTGTATAATGCTCTTGAAGGTTCTTTCTAGCCTCGACTTCTACCTTCTTTACTATATTGGTTGCCAGGGCTGCTCTCAATTCCCTGTAGGGACAATGGCAATTTAGTGCATCATTCTGACACAGATTCTTCTCCTGAAAACTCAGGCTGCATTCTCCTCCCTGGAGGTATGTGGCCAAGGCTCTCACGTAGCCTACTGGGGAGAGCTCCAACTTCTGCCTGGATGACGCTGTGCAAAGGCAGAACCTACTTCCAGGATGCAAAGGCACTGATGTAGTAGCAGGTTTCCGACAGACTCCAAGTAGGAGTGCATTTTAGCTGGACACGCTCCAAGCCTGGAAGCAGAATGTGCTCCAGCCACTTAACATTTAAAACAGGCCTATCACATCCATCCTTCAGCTGCCCGGGAGATAGCGCAGCAGGAGCCAGTTGGTGTCTGGTGGTGATTTAGTTCTGAGTCACCCACTCTCTGATCAGTTATCTTGAGTCATTCCCACAGTAACCCATACGCCGGATGGCATCACAGTTTTTTATGATCAGCGTCAAGAGCACACCCGCACAAACAAAGCATCAAGAATGATTTCCATCCTCTGAAGCACCGAGGAAATCACTGTCTACAGCAGTCACTTTGAAACTTTAAAAAGAACATGACTAACTTATTCACCTCTCTTTAATTCCCTAAATACTTGAGAAGTGGGGGTGGGAGAAAAACTGGCTGGAGGGAGTAGAGAAGAAATACTGGAAGAGCCCTGGCCCATGTGCTCAGTGGTTAGAGCATCGGCCTACATACTAGAGGGTAGTGGGTTTGATTCCTGGTCAAGGGCACATACCTGGGTTGCAGGTCCAATCCCCACCCCTGGTCAGGGTACGTGTGGGAGGCGACCAATCGATGTGTCTCTGTCACATCAATGTTTCTCTCTCTCTCTCTCTCTCCACTCCCCTCCCCAGCTGTCCCTTCCACTCTCTCTAAAAATCAATGGAAAAAATATCCTCACTCTTCAGGTGAGATTAAAAAAAAAGAAATACTGGAAGAAAGCCCAAAGATGCAGGCAGAGAAAGAAATAGATGGTATGATGTCTGCTGAATGAATTAATGAAACCAATAAACCAATATAAGGCACACTAATTCATCATTTTCATCATTTTCTGTCCAATGACAGGAATTAGGCAGCTAAACCTACACTTCTACTTTTCAGGGACTAAATGGACTCCTTTCTTAGCTCCTTTTAGAATAAACCTCAGAGAAGACTTTGATTACTGGGGTCAATAATGCATAATCACAAGAACAAAAACAAAAACAAAAAAATCATGGGGTCAGCCATATTTTTAACCACTTTGATGCCTTTCTCATCTTTAAGATAACAATATTAAAATATGCATATTGCAGGGTTGTTAAGAGAGATTCAACGTGACAGGTGATGTAAATATATATAGCACCACATCTGGCACTTATTGGATACTCTTAGTTTCCCCTTTCCACTGCTCTCACTTCCTCACTCCCGTGCTCACTAGCTATACTACCTTGAGGAGCTAATCTTTCTAAGGTTCACTGTCTTTAACTATAAAATGGAGATGTAAATAATATCAGCTTTGCAGGCCTGTCATTCGATTGAATGAGATATCCATACTTAGCACAGCACGCACAGTAAATATTCTATGGCTACGGATTTTTATTATTGTTCTATCATTATTAATCTTTTTTAAATTAAAATAACTTACTTCTAATAGGCATAATTAGAACTTTCATTGGATCATAAAATACTAGAACCTAAGAACCCTAGTTCTTTTTTAAAATTTATTGGGGTGACATTGGTTAATAAAATTATATAGGTTTCAAGTGTATGTTTCTATGATACATGATCTGTATATTGCACTGTGTGCCCATCACCCAAAATCAAATCTTCTGTCACCATATATTTGACCCCTTTACCCTTTACTACCCCCTCACCCCCTTCCCTCTGATAACCACTATACTGTAGTCTGTATCTATCAGTTCTTATTTGTTCATTTGTTGCTTTGTTTTATATCCCACATATGACTGAAATCAGCTTTTTCTGTCTGACTTATTTTACTTAGGCCGATACTCTCAAGGTCCATCCATGTTGTCACAAATAGCAGTATTTCACCTTTTCTTATGGCTGAGTAGTATTCTATTATATATGTACATAATCATGTTTGGTGGCTCTCAGCTCAGGATGGTACCTCCCGCTAAAGGGAGAATGCCTTCGGAAACAGGGAGGGCACTTGCTGATGTCCTAACGACTGCGTGTGCTACTGCTATTCCACACCTGGAAGCGGAACGGAAGACCTCCTACAATGTGCGGGGCATTCGCATAAGAGCTCTCCCATTCATATGCAATTATCCGTCCACTGAAACACACAAGGGAACTCAGTCTCCTCATTGGGGTGCTCAGAGAGATGAAGATATTTAACCAAGACCCCAGAGTGAGTTAGCATTAGAGCTAGAACTAAATTTTTTTTGAGTGTTAACACTGCAAGAATTCTTGCCATCTTTTGCAATTGTCATCAACAGAGTGCATACATACATCTCTATTCTTAGCAGTGGCAATTGTCTCTATAAAGTCAGGAAAATTCCTAAGAAAAGAAAAGCCTTGCAGTGTGCTTTCTTACTGTCTCCAGGAGGAGAAGGAAGACAGAGAGGGAAAGGGAAGGGGGAAGAAGGAGGGAGGGAGGGAGGAGGAGGAGGGTTTTTTTTCTTTTCTTTTAATGTTGAATAATAATATATAAGCTTGCCTCACTGGTTCTATTATAGTAAAGGCTGGTATGGTCACTCAGCCCCTGAGAACACAATATTACAGAGGTGAAGGTTTGATTTCAGTCCTTCTATGGGCTTATTAGTTTTCTACAGAGCAAATCCTTGTTCTATAATCATAGCATGTCATGCAGGCATGTTGTGGTAAATGTCTTACAAAGCAAGAAACTGCCAGGTACCTCTCACCTCACCACCAAGAAATAGTTCAACTACTTGTCCTGCGGATCCTGGTTCATGTTCAGCTCAGTATTTAGTTTATTTTAACATTTACAGAGCACCTGCTGCTTGCAGGGCGCTGTGCTAACTACCAAGGGCATCAAGGTGAATCACACACACCAAGGAGCCCAGGCTACCAGGGGGAACAAAACTGTAAGCAAATTCTTTCAGTAAACAGTAGTTAGTGCTGCGTTAGTAAGAGATAAAGTTGTTGATTTATAGCATAAGCGAACCTAGGACATTGATTTTGGTTAGTTGTTGAAATGTTTTAAGTAACACAGTCACACCAGCTGCCTTAATATACCAAAAGAAAGTTTACTGCAGTCAAAATGACTGTCTTCTATCACAAATTTGTACATTTCTCTCTCTCTTTCAGATTTCAAATGTATAAAACAATCTACATGTCACTTAGTACTAGCCGTGTGTCCTTTGGAATGTTACTTATGTTCCCTAACCCTTAGTTTCCTCAACTGGAAAAACAAGTATTCCTGCCTTCCCTACTTATCTCTGAATGGAAGGAGATAATACCTCTGAATGCTTAATACATATATGTGATCATATCATTGCCTCTTTCCAGAAAGATCACATTTCTCAGCCCCCCTGTAGCTAAGGGGGTAATTTGACTAATTCTCACCAATAAATATTAGTGAACCTGACATCACTTCTAGCCCCAAGCAGTTAAGGGAGTGGTGGTGTACTTTTTCCACAAATTATCTGTTCCCTTGTGCAGCAGCTCTGGAGGCCTTGCGTTCCAGATGGCCTAACTACGAAGTGAAAGAAGGGTATCCCATCGGTACTGGTCTCGGCAGGAGTAAGAAATGTTTATTTTATTATCACTGAGATTTCAGCACGTGTGTGTTACTGCCGCCTGCCTATTGCGTCCTGACTAATACACATTACAGCTGTAAGTTACTGTTTGGAAACGCACTGGCATCCTTGGATGGCCTCATTACCCAGTGGCTCTGGGAATATCTACTGTATTCTGGGAAAGCCTCGGAGCACTTGTTATTCCATCATTAAAACATTCTCCCGGACGCTGAACGAAACCTACATGACCTTTCATCTTTCATTTCTGTGCTTAATCCCCTCCCTTCAAATACTAACTTCGGCATGTGTCCTGAAATCCTTTCTAAACCGTGTCACCACGTGTCTGTTCCTCTCAAAAGTCAATATTCCAAATAAATGAGGGATGCCAATTTGCGAATTTTATTCATGTCAGAAACCAACAGCTTTGAAAGCTTCTTAGCTGGATAACAAAGATTTGATCACAACATGTAAAGGGCTGGCCTGCCTCTGCAAGGAGATGTGTTGCTTGAGGGAAAACTGTCAAAATGGTATATTTCAGGCTACAAAGACTCTTAAACACAAGAACACTCACTCTGGTGAACATCACGAGGGAAAACAGTTGGGATGTTCATGGCGGCAGCTCTCCATCGCTTTTTCATAGAAGCTCTTACCGCAGACATCATCAGAAATGGGAAGGTATATAAGTGCAATATGCACACAATTATCACGAGATCGCAGAACCATAACGCTCTTAAAACATCACCTTACCTGTTCTACATTTCAACCGCAGTAACATATTCCTCACCGACTTTGATTCTAGGATGGATCAAGCCCCTCACCAGCTCAGAGGAGTTCACGCCCATGGGGAAAGCACCTTTGTCAGCACCTGGTCAGAAGGAAGAAAGGGGGAGGGAGAGAGGAAGAGGGGAAGGAAAAATACCATTCGAATTTATTCTGTTATAGCCCGATAGACTACCCAGAGGATGGAAGGATGACATGCTTACACAGAGGTAGCAAGGTAGATTATAGTTTTGAAATAATTACCTGTAGTAATTAAAAGACTATTTTAAATAGTATTTAAAAGACTATTTCTTGAAAAAGCACATCAAAACCACGTGAAATGCCACTTCACACGAGAATGGCTGTAATCAAAAAGAATAGTAAGTGCTGGTGAAGATGTGGAGAAACTGGGGCCCCCCTACACTGCTGGTTAGAATGTAACAAAGCACAGCTGCTGAGGAGAACAGTTTGACAGCCACTCAGTCCAACAGAGTTACTCTAGACCCGGGAATTCTACTTCTAGGTTATATACCCAATAGAAATGAAAACATATGTTCACACACACAAAAATGCACACAAATGTTCCTAGCAGCATTATTCATAATAGTCAAAAAGGGGAAAATACCCAAATGTTCATCAGCTGATGAACAGATAAACATAATGCTGTATATAAATACAGTGAAATATTTTTCAACCATAAAAGAAAGTATTGATGCAGGTTACAACATGGATGAAACCTGAAAACATTATGCTACATGAAAGAAGCCAGACATGAAAGGCCACATATTATGTGATTCCATACACATGACCTGTCCAGAACAGGCAAATTCCTAGAGACAAGTAGTAGATTTGTGTTGTCAGAGGCTAGGGAGAGAAGAAAATGGGGAGTAACTACTCAGGGTCCAAGGTTTCTTTTCGGAGTAAAGAAATGTTCTGGATTTAGATAGTGGTGATGGTTATACAACCTATGACTACACTAAATCTCACCAAACTGTATATGTTAAAAGGGCGAATTTTGTTGTATGTGTATTATAGCTTAATTTTAAAAAGAATCTATTTCTTAATATTGGCTCTTTCTAAAAAGAGATATTTATCTGAAGGACATGGGCTATTTCATCTTTATTATTTGCCTATTTTTCCCTTCTATGTATGTACTTGTAGATTATTTCAATGAAACAGGGACCTATAATTTGATAATTCAATAGACATGAACCAGGACACTTGCCCAGTATCTATCATAAACCTTTCCTTTTCCTGTGAAGTCTCTGTTTGTGCCAGAGTGCCCTCTCCTGCCCAACAAGAATACTTGCAACCCACACAATCGCACTTTTATAAGTTTCCATTTTCTAAGGAAAGAAGTGGAGTGTTATCAGAAGGAAAAGTAAATAGGCACGTATCACATTGGGTGTCAAAAAATAAGCTTACCACAAACGAATGACCCAGGAAAACATCATAAGCACGTTTCATATGATAGATTCCTTCAGTTATCAAACAAAAGGAATATTTCACTCATCTGAAATCTCTCTGCTACATCTTCCATTTTAAGTGAATCCTGAGATATACTTGTATATCTGATGTAGTCACTGTAAAATAATGTCTTATGATAGAAGGAAATGCAGTCTTTCCTTCACTAAGAAGTACAAAAATTTCCTGAGCAATAACCACGAACGGGGGAAAGTAAAACACACACTAAAACACACACACACACACACACACACACACACACAAATTAGAAAGCTCCGTGCCATGACTAATATCCATTTCCTTTCTGTGGGCCTTTTAAATTTTCACAATGGCTTAAAAAGCTTGAAATGTTTGATCTGCTTGTTAATTAAAACCAATACATATTATACATATATTTCTGCAGGCTACACACCCACTCTATATCCCTGATAATGGCCTACGTACTCAGCTGCTATGAAACCTTTCAAAATCCAATGCCTGTTGGGGAAAATAAATTGGAAAATCAAAACTAGAGCAGACATGCCCACCTATGCTGAGACAGTGCTGCTAAGGGGGGCATGTTGGGAGACAAAATCCTGATTATCTCAAGTTGGAAATCCAGTGGGTCAGAGCCATAGGCTTTTCAAACTGGAAGAGATTATCTAACCCAACATGAAAATAGTTAAAGGGAAGGGAGAAATGCAAGTGCCTGGTGAATCTGAGTGGAGATGAATAGTAACAGACTGAAAAATGAGCAGTTCTGTCCAGGGGGAAAAAAGGCAGGAATCTGGTTTTCTAAGCTTTAGAAGCATTCAGATGGACATTATAGGTAATACTAGTTCAAATTCATGTATCCTTTTTCTAGTGTTAAGGACAGTCCTTTGAGTCTATTTTTATCCATTAACAAAAGAAAATAATCACAAATTTTTTGTATAGTATCCAACCTTAAGCTCTAAGCGAAATAGCACCCAACATTACAGAATGACTTCTCACCTGCTCCAGAGCAGTCAGGTATCAGCAGACAGAGGGACTGGCAGGCACTGGATTTGCCCCACAGGCGTACACTACACATCACACATGTTCTCTATCTTTTCTTTGACAGAAAACAACAGTGGTCATCATGCTCCAAAAAATAAATTACTTCATTTGAACTAAAAATGTACTGTTTTACAACCAAGATGAAAATAGTTGAAATCTGTGAATAAATGTCCACCTGACCTTCAGAAAATGCTACTGCAAACATAGCCATTGATGTCTGTAAACACATTTTCATCATGTGGCCTGATGTGGCCTGAAAGAGGCTTTCTGAAGTCCCCACCAATAAAGGCCATTCCTTCACCCGCAGGTTTTAATTAGGCTGCATGAGCTTAGCTGGGAGGAGAAACGCGTAGGTAGAGCAGGGGTTCTCACACATTGGTGTGGATCAGAATAGCCTGGAGAGCTAATACAGAAACAAAGGACTAGCTCGCTGAAGGAGTTTATGGTCTGGGCTCATTTTTATCATGTTTTCCAAGTGATTCTGACACATCAAGGCTTGAGATCAGAGTCCTTACTACAATGGTCCTCAACCTTGGCTGAATGTAGGGGTCACCTGGCAAGTTGTAAAAACAAACACTGATGCCTGCACCCACCCCTAGAGATCAGCTTTCTTTGGTCTGGGTGAGGACTGAGCTTCAGAAATTTAAAAACTCCCTAGGTAATTCCGATATAAAGGCAGCTTTGACAAGTATTCTCTAGGGAACGGTAGGTAGCTGGGTTGGGTAAGTACACTTGAAAGTCAAGAAGATGGAGAGAACAGTCTGACTTCACCTGAAAACAGGTAAGGCGGCTGAGAAAAACAAAAAGCAATTCTTTCCAACTTTAAAATTTTATCCCAGTTAAGTCTCATTTGTAAACAGCCAGATATAAAAAAAGAAACAAAACCCAGTTTTGTCAGTCCACAACCCGATGAATCTGAAAGAAGGGTAATGATGACATTCAACAGTCTTTTTGAAGGGTTTGTATATGGTTTCTGAGCTGTTCACGTTTCATTAAGTTTACTGAGCACTTGCTATGTGCAAGGCCTGAGAAGAGAGCTAAACAAGACAAGAATCTTCAGTGTCAAGGAATTTATAATCCATGAGAATAAATAAAACACAAGCAAAAATATCAAGTATATCGGTAAAACAACCACAGAAGAGACCAAGAAATGAAGTATGATGAAAGTTTGAAATAGCAAGAGGTGTCGTCACAGTCGTGGAAAGTGAGGTAACTCAAGCGCCCATCAGTGGATGGACAGACAAAATGTGGTACGTACATATAATATTATTCACACTTAAAAAGGAATGACATCCTCACAGATACAACATGGATGGGTCTTAAAGACATTATGCTAAGGGAAAGCAGCCAGACACAAAAGAACAAATATTGCATGATTCCACTTCCAGGGGGCACCTAGCACAGTCCCATTCATAGAGACACAGAGTAGAACAATGGTTGCCAGGGGTCAGGGGGAGGGGGAAGTAGGGGATCATTGTTTAATAGGTGCAGTTTCAGTTTGGGGTGATGAAAAATGTCTGGAGATGAATGGTGGTGATCGCTGCATAACAGCGTGAAGGTGCTTAATGCCACTGGCCTGTAAAATGGCCTGAAACTGAAAATAGTTAAAAGAGCACATTTCAAGTTACGTATTTTATCACAATTAAAAATCTACAATTTATTAAAAATTATTTGTTGAGGAATTTGAATGAGTTTTCCCTTTTTGTTTCAGTTGCCAGGGGTTTTAATATTAAATGAAATAATAACAACTATGCTTCCTTCTTTTCGTAATTGTGACTTCCTATCTTAATGATTCTTCTAGACGGATCATTCATTGTAACATGCCTCAAATCTTTTTGGCAAGCAGGCAGGACTACAGATTTTTTTAAATGTGAATAAAAACTAGAGAGAAATGAAGCCATCGTGGCCTCTGTCCAGTGAAAACTCCGCCTTTAAAATTCTGAAGACCTTTGTTCACACCTCCATGACGTCACTTACTACAATTTATGGTAATTTGTTCCTTTCTCTGTTTTTCTCAATAAACTATGTGCTGAAGGCAGGCAATGTCCCAGTCAATCCTGTGTCATCCAAGTTTGGCAAATATACTGCCTCCTCAATGATTAATTAAGGAATGATTTTTGTTCTGAGATATAAGGATCCTACATCAGAATGGTGGTCACAGAGAATAATTTTGAGGAACAGCAATCGAAGGAAATTGCCAATTAATTTCAACATTTTTCCAAAAACCAAAAGGGGAGGTTAACTGCAAGGAAAGGGGAATAGGCCTGGGGTCAGGCGTTGGAAGAGAGTGTATGTCACGTCTTCAAAAAAAAGTCTTACGTTCTGTGCCATCTGCTTCCACTTGCTCTTCTCTGGGTTTGTTTAAATTTCATGTTTCCGAAGTGCGTGATGGCTCCAGTGAGTTTATAGACTCCATGCTTCTCTTCAGGAAGAAAGCCCAAGATGTCCGTGGCTTGCTGTGAAAGGGAAACAGATGGCAGTGACTTCATTCGCCTCAGGGCTGCAGTGAGCACCTCCCCACACTGTGCCACACTTCCCTGTACTCTGTGGGCTCCAGAAGGGGTGAGACAGATCCCTCAGCCCCGACGTGTGGCAGGTCTGTTCGCAGGAATGCAAATCAGCCCGGTTGGCAGTTGGTCACCCATGTCTACTTATCCCTTTAAAAGAATTAGGAAGACACCAGATTTGACTTATTTCATTCCCTTAGTTTTAGAACTTTCCTGGATGCCCTGTGTCCCTCCTCTCCCTTCCAGCAATCAATCATTACCAGCTATATGAGGTAAATTATTTTGCTTTTCATGGTTATGGCAAAAAATAGCTCTCTATCTGATGGTTTGCTTATTTCTGGGATTCCATATGTTCTCCCAAGTTTATTCCAGAGCTGATACATTTCAAAGGCTGTCGAAAAGAAGTGTTTAAGGAAAGAAAAACCATGTCATCAAAGAACTTGTATCCTAAGAAGTCACTGCACATGGTAAGATGTGTACCAATTTCCATCTCCCTCTCTAGGAAGGTGGAAATTGGGACAATCTTTCCAGTGGTAAATTTAGAATATGTATAAACAGACTATAAAAAATATAGTCTATATTTTATATTACATTACAATCCTTACCTGGTACTTTCACTTTTAGGAATGTAGCATAAGTTGAATCTATATATGGAAAAAGCATTTACTTACAAAGATATTCACCACAGTACAAAAATAAAACAAATGAAAAGCCTTGTGTCTAACAATAGGAGAATGCCTAAAAAAACTACAGGACAAATGCCTGATAAAATATTAAGTATCCATGTGAATGGTTATGAAGAGTTTGCAATAACACTGAAAATGCTTATATTATAACATTAACTGAAAAAAATAAATTCTTTATACCAAGTACATATGCAGTATAGTTATGATCTTTTGTTTAAAAATAAAAGATAGCAACCCAATATAGAAAAAAATAAAGACTGCATATATACATACATATATATATACACACATACCCCAAATAAAAAAACAGTGGTTGCCAATGAGTTAAAATATTGTCTTACTTTTCTATTTGTCCTAAAGTTACTATACAAATAATGTGCACTTTTACAATAAATAAGGAGCAC